TGTCATTTTTTGCCATTTATCAGTGTAATTTAGTCACCGACGTACTAAATCTTTTCCAAGGATGACCCGATTACAAATTATGTTGGTCGCCCGATATATTTTGTAACATTGCCAATGTGTGAGAGAACTGTCACCCCGTGCCAGTTTACGACGGATATTCACAATTACAAGAATCTGTACTGCCGCCAACGTTTTGACTTCTGATACATATTATCATTCTATTGTTCATGTCTTGCTGGATCATAAGTAATGTACTATTTCTTTAATTATTTGTTATAGTTTTAGTGTTTTCGTTGAACGTCACTAGTGTATAAATATTTTCAGATAAATATTAGTGACAATTTTTTACATGATTCTTTTATCAATATAAAGTTTCAGACAAAATTAACAAAATATCATTTACGTCAAAATTTTTAGAAGATTTTTATGTTATACACTGCAGTCGTCAGAAAATGCAGTTTTCGATATTCGATTTTTGCATTATTTCTGCAAAGACAATTTTTATTTTGTAATATAGTTCACTCTTCTGTATAGGATCCATATTAATTTTTCAAACAATACTACTTCTGATCTGAATACAGAGAATTCTACACTTACTGAGAAATTTTACCTACAAACAGATTTGATCCTTATTCTAATTGCGCCATAATTCAATAAACAGTCAGTCAGGTGGCCACTAACACGTAGGTACTTATAGTTATTATTATCCTGCTGTTGCTGGCAGATCACATGGGAGTTGTGGAACTCTGTTGAAACGAAAACTCAAGTTCCATCCATATAAGTTCTCCATCAGTCGAGCTATAAAACTACAGGCAACGAATTCGGTTCCGCAACGGACTTTTTTTCGAATATAAGCTGGTTTTGACTTGATGGTTACATTAATTCACAAAATTATGGAATTTAGCCTATTAAAAAACATTAAGGCTGGCGTCTGGTTCGGTTTCGCCCAATACTAAATACATTGAAAACATCGTCGTAGTTTGCATTTTAAAAATACTGAAGTTTGCAACCAAATGAGGACCTAGGTAAACCTGTATTCTGCTACCGCATCACAGCTCGTTTAATGCCAATTTCTCGTTTCAATAGAATCTGACTTTTCGCGAGTTATTTACTTGAGTCGCGAATTTTTTAGTATTGTAAATGATATCAAAAGAAATCTAACACTTTTCCCCAGGGGACCTCCTATCTCAGAATGCAAACAAGTTCAGCACTTCGCCAAAAAATGCATCAATTAAAGTTAAAGTGTGATGTTATAGTTGGTCAACTTTATATTTTTTTTTATGTAAAAACTGCATACCAGATATGAATATAAATATAGAGGTCCCCTGGACTGAAGTTTTTAATTCGAAATATAATTTTTTTAAAGCGATAGGTATACCTCGTATTTTTAAAATGCAACTATGGAAACCACGACGATGTTTATAATGTATTTAGTATAGGGCGAAACCGAACCGGACGCCAGCCTTAACTATATTAAACAGCCGTTTATACAAACTTTTATAAGCAACTATATCATATAAATCCAAAACTTTCCCACGGGTATTTTAATCGGGATTACCGCAGCACAAACATCTCAAGCCACGGTATAGCACTTTCATCAATTTTTTTATGACTAAATGGTAAGTGCTAGAATTTGGCCAAGTTTAACACCTGACTTCGCCTCAATAGAATCCTTTCTATTCAAAAAAGTCAAAAACACAATTTGTGCCTGAAATTTGAACACGGTCGAAGAATTGCAGGTTGCAGTACTCGAAAGTACTCCAAACATGTTGGTTCATGTATTTTACAGTCTAAAAAGCAGAGTCTAACTTTGTTTGCGAAATGAGAGAGGATCTATCTAAAAATATCTTTATTAATAGGTAAAATTGTTCTTCAGTTCATGTTTTTTGCCTTCTTTACTTCAAGTCGTAATTTAACTTTCTTAAAGTGACATGGCGCAAGTATTTGAATGAGCAATATCGGTTCAAGAGAAATTTTACAGAAAAGGTTAATTCTATTGCCAACTCAAACAGTATTTATTGCTCACTCTGTATAATAAGTTGACTTTAGAAATTAGCTACATGTTTAACTTGTTCTATGAAACTAAAAATTTATGTTAAAGAAAAGTCTCTATTATATGTTATCTTCGTGAAATTTAACCAACTGTTTAAAACGTTAGGTTTTTTTTTGTAAACATCACATAAGTATATACTAGTAGTGAAAAGGACCCTAGGCAGACCCCAGAACTCAGACTCACAGTAGACCCTGTCAGATCACTGAAATACAATCTTTAATCAATTTAATTTTTATTGTACGAAATCAAATTTCCATTTCTACTTCCAGAGCTTAAGCTAAGAAAGTACTGTAATCGAGTCCATCGGGCGACTGGCTGCTTTTTTATGGAAATTAAGTGCATACACCTTTATTGTCATCATACAACAATTTCTAACTTTTGTATAAGTTAGTGAATCTATTTTTCAAGTAAATTGTATAACATTCTAAGTTCCATTACTTGCATGCACTTTTAGTGTAAGTGTAGATATGATTGCGTGCTATATAATTCGTTTGTTACTCTTAAATTAGTGGTAGAAACGGTATAATATACATTCAACGAATCGATGCAAATACGTATTGCACCATTGCAGCAATACATTTTAGACATTATCCAGATTTGTGATATTAATATAACATAATTTACACAGCATTTGTTTGCAAAATTTATTAGATGCATAAGTTTTTTCAATATTCCATGCTGCAAAGGTAAACATACTAATAGTCTCATAAACTGATAACTACTTGAACCAATCCACAATGCTATAATTTAAATAACGTGCAATTACTAAAACTCTAGTTGGTGCTGGATTTTTAACTGTCTTTCTCATTCATGTCGTGAGTAATAAAAAAGAGAAATATGGCTTGCTATTGTAGGGTCAACTTGAGGACTTTTTTTTTCACTGTACTTTATTGAAATCGTATGATTATGCAATATCAGCAGTTCTGAGATATGAACGTCAGCGTATGAAACAATAAACACTTTAAAAGTCATTTAATTGTTAATAAAATAAGGTATAATAATGCTTGCTATTTTGAAGCCTACCATGTAACTCATATGGAATGTAGTTATATTGTTTTGTGTTAATATTACGTTTTGTCCACATTTTTAAGTCTAATTTATCTATCAGTCTATTGTTTGCTCATATAAAATATTGAAACACTATACAGGGTGTCCCAGAATTCGCGCCATTCCCGTGAATGACATGTTCCCTGTCCCGAACTGTGCCGTAATTCGCAAAAAGAATTGTCCAGGCTTTAACCGTGTGAGAACTGGAAGGCGATTAAGTTGACCAATAGAGAGGCTGCTTTTATATTCGAACGTTTCTATGTTCAACGTTACCTATGCCAAGAACAAAAAATCGGGTAATACTAAAGTTGAATGAATTTTTTCCGAATCCCCCTCCGTCAACAAAAGGAAACAGAAGTGTGGTTATAAATTTAATCATTTTGACAATTGTTTGTCATAAACTGTCACGAAGTTCATCACTGACCTGAAGAGATGCTTCTGCGCCAAAGATGCCTGATTAATGTACACAGAGACGTCAAGGTTTACTTTGAGGCAAGTAGCATGGGACAGAAGTTATTTCTGCTGCCATTCTAGTTAAATTGTGTTTAACTGGGCTGTACATGTCATAAGAGAAGCTGTTTCATTTCATCGTAGGCAAATAATACATTTATTACTATTCTACATAGTGTAGATACCAAAGAGCAGGTATTAGAAGTCATTTTCTTAGAGCCCCGTGAATAATGTGTTGTTCTTTTTAACGAAAATCAGTACATTTTCAGAATTCACTATGCATCATATGCCTGATATTAAGTTTATCGTTATTTCTAAAAAAGAGTACCACATGTCCATTCAAAGAACGTTATTAAGTGTACTAAAACATAAATATCGCCTTTGATTAATCGGTGCTTATGATTTTCAATAAACAGTATCAATTTTTACTGAACAGCTTAGTTGCTGATACCTAATCTAAGCAACGAAAAAAGAGACGAGACTCCACTTCTCTGGTGTGTTAAGATCATAGGTATCTGCTGTGGTGTCAATCATGCGGGGGAGATACTGAAAACTGAGACTTATTCAAGAATAATATTGATGCTGCACATGATGATTTAAAACAGTTTCTTTAAAGTTGTGAGTACTTTCTAGAGATTGAAAAGATACGAATAAAAATTATAACAAAAATCGTTTAGTTGCATTTTTTTTAAGAACAATACAAACTATAAACAAATCAGTACCAATACCACTAAGTTATTGATGTCTTATTCATACTAGTATAAAGAATATTTGGAAATGATGTTAATTTATTTACTATTGACGAAAGTGCAGCATCTGCGACGAGCCGACTGCGCGACGGGTGCATGTTGCTAAATGGTTACTGCGACAAAATGAACTAATAAATCCTGATTTTTCACGGCATATTCTTTTCGCCGACGAATGTTGATTTTCCCGAAAAAGAATATTTAATGCGCACAATTAGCACTTCTGGGCAAACGAAAATCCACATTTCGCTAACTTGAGAGCATATCAAGAGCAATACTATTAATCTATGGGCTGGAATCGTTGTACTGTAACGTTACGAGTATTAAACAATGTGCTCAAAATGACCACCATTAACTTCAATGCAAGTTCTAGCTCGTCGAATTATGTTGTGTTGTGTATTATTTAACATCTCAGGAGTAACTGTAGCGTAGGTTTCGTGCAGTCTCTCTTCCAGTTCTTCTAACGTATCTAGGGGTTTTCTACGAGTATATACGTAATTTTTAATTTGATTCCAAAAAAAAAGTCCAAAGGAGAAAGGTCTGGAGATCTAGGAGGCCAGATGTTAGTACTGCTACGCCCAATCCACCTATGAGGATACTCTTTTCAATGTTCGCCGTACAAGTATCGAATTATGTGGAGGAGCGTCGTCGTGCTGAAACCACATATTCCGCCGTACATTCAAAGGAACGTCTTCCAACAACACCGGAAGCTCTAGTCGTAGAAAATTAGCATATGCCTCCCCATTAAGGCGATCAGGTAACACAAACGGCCCCACCTAAAAAAACAGGAACGGAGTTTAGTGATAATTTTATCAATGCATTAAAATTTTTACCACAGTAGTACCAATGATTCCAGCCCATAGATTAATAGTAAATCGCTCCTGATATGCTGTCACCCTAGTGAGATGTGGATTTTCGTGTGCCCAGAATTGCCAATTGTGTGCATTAAACATTCCTTCTCGGGAAAATGAGCATTCGTCGTTGAAAAGAATGCGCCGTGAAAAATCAGGATTTAGTTCATTTTGTCGCAGTAACCATTGAGCAAAATGTACTCGTCGCGGGTAGTCGGTTGGTCGCAGATGCTGCACTCTCGTGTAATGGTAAGGATACAGTCTTCTCTCTTGAAGGATACGATGAGTGGTCGATCTTGGGCATCCACTCATTTGCGCTACGTAGAGGACACTTCTCCTAGGATCCGCTTCCATGTTTTCTAACACTTGCTCTTCAGCACCTACACGTACATTCCGTGGAGCTCCAGCACGGCCTTTCCGATTAGGTTGAAAAGATCCATCTTCTCTTGCTCGATGTAACAATCGGTGAAACACATGTTGGTCTGGGTGCCGACGATTATTCACGGGGCTCTAAGAAAATGACTTCTAATACCTGCTCTTCGGTAGCTACTCTATGTAGAATAGTAATAAATGTATTATTTTTTGCCTACGATGAAATGAAACAGCTTCTCTTATAACATGTACAGCCCAGTTAAACACAATTTAACTAGAATGGCAGCAGAAATAACTTCTGTCCCATGCTACTTACCTTAAAGTAAACCTTGATGTCTCTGTGTACATTAATCAGTCATCTTTGGCGCAGAAGCATCTCTTCAGGTCAGTGATGAACTTCGTGACAGTTTATGACAAACAATTGTCAAAACGATTAAATTTATAACCACACTTCTGTTTCCTTTTGTTGACGGAGGGGGATTCGGAAAAAAATTCATTCAACTTTAGTATTACCCGATTTTTTGTTCTTGGCATAGGTAACTTTGAACATAGAAACGTTCGGATATAAAAGCAGCCTCTCTATTGGTCAACTTAATGGCCTTCCAGTTCTCACACGGTTAAAGCCTGGACAATTCTTTTTGCGAATTACGGCACAGTTCGGGACAGGGAACATGTCATTCACGGGAATGGCGCGAATTCTGGGACACCCTGTATAAAAAACAAAAATATAAATTTGATATAAAATAAAATATAAATTTCATTCACTAGGCACGAGCGTTGTGGGCAGTGAGACGCAAGTTTTTGTTATGTTTCTGCATCCGTTTGATGTCAATGTTATTTTATTTCATTTAAAAATGGTTTACAAAAGAGTAGATTCAGTTTTTTAAGTGGATTTAAGATCAGAGACATAACGGATATTCAGTTGAAAAAGTCGTTAAGTTGGCTTTGTTTTTTGATAGAACAAAACAGCGAAGAAAATACTGTTGAGTACAGTCGGGACCGTTACTATAAAACCATCTGATAAAAAGTAAAGTTGGCAGCACTGCCGTTTAGTATTTTATGATCAATGCGGTTGGTAACGACAGCGCGCATGACGCTTCGCGTTAACAGCTAGTTGACAGGCGCAACAATAATTTTCGAAAAGTTCGAGTCGTGCTTTTTTAGAGCTATATTATGCCTTCCCGACATAAAAGAACTTTGCTGTCGGAAAAAATGAAGACTGCTGTGGTAAAATGTTACCGAGAAATTGGTGAGCTCGGTCCCACTTTGTCAATTCGACAATTGGAAGAGAAAGTCGCAACCATATTTTCGGTACAGTACTCCTTTTGAATAAGCAGCGGCTTTCAGATATTCTGTCCTATGTACCCGACAATCACAACCGTTAATTTGTCATTATTCCTTATCCTTTATAGTGCTCAAGAAGTCAGATCCGAACCATAATTTCCCAAAATAATGCCGGCGTTCCTATTTTTGATCCCCAAACGGGCAGAAAACCAAGATGTCGATTTCACACTGATTTCCTATTTAAAGAAGAACTGAGCCTACATATCTACCAAAGAAATAAAAAGAATGAATATTTCACCGCAAGGGATTTATTTCAATTTGCAAGAACTGAATTAGAACACACAGCAAGTTTAACAACACTGAAACGCATTTTAAAATCAATGGGGTACAGGTACAAGAAAGTGAATAACCGAAAAATTTTAATTGAGGGACCTAGACTTCAATCCCAAAAAATTAAATTTTTAAGGCAATATTTGCAACTGGTAGATCAGAATGTAACGTTCGTTTTTCTCAATGAAACGTGGATCTATGAACATGGTTCTGCTGTAAGAAGGTGGGTGTTTGAAGGTGATAGAAGGGGTATGCCAGAGAAAGTTTGCATGAATGAAGGAAAGCGATTCACAATACTTCACGCCGGGGGCAAATTTGGTTTTCTCGAAGGATGCGATTTATTTTTGGATAGCAAAGTAGATAGCAGAGATTATCACAAGACGATGACTGGGGACCTGTTTAAGCAATGGACTGAGCAACAACTAATTCCAAATGTCAAACAGATGAGCGGCAAAGTGGTTGTTATTATGGATAACGCGCCGTATCATTCAGTCCATGCTGAACAGCTCCCCAATTTTTCTTGGAAAAAGTCAAAATTACAACTTTGGTTGCATCAAAACGAAATTCCCTTTGATAGTAATTTAACGAAAAAGCAATTGTATGAAATAATAAAACCTAATATTCTTTCCCGAAAAAAGTACTTAATTGACGAGTTGCTATCCAAAAATGGCATACAAGTATTACGACTTCCCCCATACCATTGTCAGTACAACCCCATTGAAATGGTATGGGGTTTTTGTAAACAATATGACAACAAGCATATTCTTGAACAGCCTTCAGGAAAATTAAAAGTTGCTAATTTATGGAAAAAAGCACTGTCTAAATATACTCCCGAAATGTGGCTAAATAGTGTTAAACATTGTGAACAAATAATTAACGAAGACAGGGTGCGATTGATGGGGAATGAAAGCGTGCAAGATATACCACCGATAATTATATCACTCGCAGATTCTGATGATGAATCAATTATAAGCTTTAGATCAGAATCTACAGACGATATTTCCTTGGAGGATGAGAATCTTGAATGTAGTGAAGAAGAAGATGAAAGAAAAATAGTATGCAAGGATGAGCAAATGATTTGTTTGTTAGAAACAACAGAATCTGAAAATCAGAGTGATGTGGAGCTTCTTACAGTAGAATTTGTTGATTAACTGTTTTGGTAATCTATATAGAACGGGAAATTTATTAATCTCTATACAATTGCACTGTATTGTATTGTTTTTTTTTACGTTTTAAAGTAATCACTGAGAATGATAAATTAGATTTCACTAGTCCTTTCTTGTTTCTCTGCATGAATATCCCACAGTAGGTTTTTATCATATTGCTATAATAAATTTGTTCCAATAACACTGGTGTCTCTCTCTCATTTCTGTCGTTTGTATTCTTATCTGCATAAAATATACACAGTAGTAAGTTCATTGTGATAATATTAACTTTGTTCAAACGCTGCTCTTAAGTTATGAGTCCACCTTTCTTATTATTTCTCTTCCAATTTGTTTTTAAATGTTCATTTGCATGGACATGCACATCTTATGCCTGCATTGTATTATATTGGATCTGTTCTAATTCTACTGTCAAGTGGAAGTTATGAAGTCACTTATCTTATTATAAGCATCTGCCTAAAATGCATAATGTAAATAGAGCCTTGACTCTCAAAACTACTCACAATTTTGTATTTTTTCCTCATAAAACTGTATTGCTGTTTCGTGTGTTAGAGATTTTGTAATAAAAACCTTTTGCTGTACAAATCATATACTATGAAGCACAATTAAGCAATTCAAAGAAAGATGTCTTACACACACCTGTCCTCTGAAACAAAGTTTTTGATTTAACCACAGCTATATTCAAGTGTGTACTACAAATTTTGAATTTTAGTTTCCATGGGGCATTTTTCTATGTATGAGTTTCACTGTCTTCTTTTCCATGTAGCTGTCCTATTTGAAGTCGAAACATTTTTTAATAATTGTAAACAGATTTAGCAGTTGTGTTTGCAAATAAATATTTAACTGCAAGCATTTTTAATGCTCTTTTTCGAAGGATTCAAACTTTTGAGAGACTGAAAAAAAACTAATGATGACTAGTTATCAGATATGTATAAAATTTTACCATTTGGAAAATCCATAAGTACAAAAAGTACAGAAAAATTGGTTTGCCACGTTTTGTCACTCGAACACTTTTTTCATCAAGTAAAGAAAACCATCTTAAATTTAAACAGTCAGCGTGGCAGGATATACAAGTAAATTTCCTTTATTTGATATATGGTGGGAATTGAGTATTGTTTGTTGTCTGACCTGAATCGAAATACCTACGCACCTACAAGCGTATAATTAATTTTTTTTCACTAGTAGCGTAGAGATGCACCGCTATCATGCTTTGTCTGTGAGTAATACATTCATTTTTCTCCATAATGGTAATTAAATTTGGCTAATGGAAGTGAAGTTAATGTTAACGGTCTATAAAGATTGAGGTTATGTAACGCCTTAACAAACGAAAATTGGCGATTATTACCAGATTTTTTAAATCATTTTCACGAGGAACAGTATCTCTAGAGGGGTACATAGTTCACAGCTTGATATATTTCCTGAAAAAATAACAAATTAATTGACAATTTTAATTTACAAACCTGATCATCTACAAACCAACATGAAACCAAAACTTTTCAAACGTCGAAAAATAATGACGGAAAATATCAAAACCTAGTTTGATGATGTTAGTGATGTAATGTTCCTTTTAATAAATCGAAAATTTTTCAAATGTGTTTTGTGGTGCGCTACTAGTGAAAAAAAAATAGCATATACCCACGCCACGGTAGTGAAGACTGAAGATATATAGACCTCACGCTTACAATAATCCTTGACGCTTCACGTCTCGTGCTCTAATCTGCGTTCAGTCTATATAATGATTATCTTCACCATAGAGAAGAGACATATATACTGTTTACTTCACTACCTTGGCCTATAATATACAAGTATTTTCCAGTCACTGTTAACTCAACATGAATATCGTAGAAATTGGATTTGGGTACGTTTCTCAAAGTTCTTGGCATACTTACATACGTTAATTTATTCAACTTTTTGACTGTTTCCTTGTTTTTATACAGAAGTCCTCGGTAATTTTGTATTTGCGTAAGTGGTAACCACCTGTGCTGATCAGCAGATATTTGGATACTCTTTATCATTTTACTGTTTTACAAGTCCCTATTTGACAAATTATTGACAGCATCATAACCTAACAGAAGATTTCCCCCAAAAATCTCACCAAAACCCATTAATTCAACTTACACTCAACAAATTTTGAAAATTTACACTAGGGAGTGGTTTTATACTAATGGTCCCGACTTTATAATTCACATTTGACAGAGTTAATAAAAAGTGTTAATTTTATTATACGAAAAATGAAATTAGGTTGTACTATTCTGAGCTGTCATCGATTAAATTTTACAAAAAATTTGATGACTTTTTCAAATTGAACACCCGATACATCCCGGCGCATTCACTACAACGATCGCTCACAATACATTAACAGTTAAAGCATAACACAGTTTGCATATGATTGGTTAGTCAGTAATAATGTTACGTATGTAGATGTTTACAGTATCACAATATTATACATTTAAGATTCCGTTTTATAGAAATAAAATTTACGGTTTTATTTTATTTAATTATTATAGGTAGAACCCAAAGTTCTGAAACTATTTAAGTAAATGAATATGATGCAGGTCGTCATAATCCCTTTACGTTGGGTTTTATATTTGAAGATATTTAATACCATGATAATGTGTTTAATTGTAGTCTAGTGTATTAGAAATATTCGAATGAAATTAGTGTATTATTAGTTCTCAAAAAATTAGTTTTTCTTGCTGTTTCAGGATCCTAGCATTTCACTAATAATTGCTCAATTAGAGATATTAATAACCTGTAAATTCTAGATTTTAAAAATAAATTTAATCCCACGATTTCTTGTCGAAGAAATTTTTATGACAAAAACTAAACCACTTAAATTATTATTTTTTTATTAATATTTAATTGTTTGATATTAATTATTTATTTTAGTTAACTTAAAGTAAAACTAGCCGTTTTCTTTATCCATAGAATTAATTTGTCGGTTTAGAACTAATTTCAAACTGGCTTTGTGTGTCCACAAATTGAATCTGCTATCTAGTAATATCAGTCAAATAGTCTATGACCCAACAACAGTCGCAAATTTGCATTAACGCAATAACTTGAAATTGGTCCGTAGTTATGTGAAATGAGTGATAAAATATCCGTACATATTTTTCTTCTCCTTTTTATATTTCATTTATAAACTTAAGCGTGGTGTGTATTAATGCAAAAACAATATTATATTGTTGCTACGAAGTTTCTCGTAAATGTTCTCGTTTTTTTCTTATTTGAACAAAGTATCAATACGACGTAAACGGATTCCAAAAGACATTAGGATTCCCCTCCAAACCATTAGAGCATTCAAACCATATGGCTGTCGGATATTTTGCAAAGTTTACCAAGAATTTTAATCAATTTAATAATAGACAGAGACGAAAAAAATTGAACTAAAGTTAGTTAGACAGGACTTCCTCCACCGAAGCATAATAAATTCAGCACACATGTTAGGGCGCATTTTTCAATAATAATTCATGTATTAATTTTGCGTAAGAATAAATATTTTTTTCTACTCCTATATATGAAAGTAGACTTTTTCCCATCGGTTACCCTTAACGAAAACATAATTTTCACTTCCAGAAGTGAAAATACTTATTCATTCTAGAAGCGAAAGTAACCATGGACTGCTATGTGAAAAGTGAAAATTTAAAGTTTAAATCCACTGAAAATTTAAGTATCTTTTTTTTTAATTTGATCAACTGTTAAGAAATGAAATATGACTACCTATTTAAATTGAAAGTAAATTGATTAAAACTGATTAATAAATTTGAATAAAAATTAAACAAAAATGTTTGACGCAGCAAGATCTGCATACGTCTAAGCAACCAGTAGCGCTAGTCAAGTAGTCATATTGTTTATTCTACGTGATTGTTCTATTTCGTAATGACATATTAGGTTTCAAATTGTGTTCCTAATTTATTGAAAAAGAAAAGCCATGTCTGATTCAGAAGAATCGCGTAGTTCCACACCACCTTGTGTGATACAAGCAGCAACATCCGCTTCCAATGATATCTTACCACAAAAATCCCAACAGAGATATCAGTTTGTATACGAAAAATTTATAACTTGGCGGAAGGACAACCGAGTGACATCTTTTTCCGAAAATGTCTTGATGGCTTATTTCGGTACATTGTCAAACAGTCTGAAGCCCTCCACATTATGGAGCATGTATTCCATGTTACGAAGTGTAATAAGTCTGAAACATGATGTTGATATTTCTAAATACCTCAAATTAAAAACTTTTCTAAAAAGGAAGTCGACGGGTTTCAAATCTAAAAAGGCAAAAGTATTGAATTCGGAACAAATTCAGTTGTTTATCGATAAAGCAAATGATGAAAAATTCTTGTTCACGAAGGTAAGTTGAGTTGAGGTTGTGTTTTATAATGTTTCATACTAGACTATTTGAAGGTTGCTCTAATATTTGAGATCTGTGGGGCCTGTCGTTCACATGAATTAAAAGATTTAGAAATTCAAGATGTTCAAGATTTAGGAAGCGCTTTATTTGTGACTATTCCAAAGACAAAAACAAATTTACCTCGTTCATTTACAATTGTTAATACCCATTATAAAATCTGCAAGAGATACATCAATCTTCGTCCACAAGGAATAGACAATACGACTCGTAGATTTTTTTTGAATTACCAACACAACAAGTGCACCCGACAAGTTATTGGAATTAATAAATTTGCATCTGTTCCAAAAGAAATTGCTAAATTCCTCAAATTACCAGATTCACAGTTATATACTGGCCATTCTCTAAGGAGATCTTCCACGACACTTCTTGCAAACACGGGTGCTAACATGACTGAAATAAAGCAGCACGGCGGATGGAAATCGAGTTCTGTAGCTGAACAATACATCGAAGATTCGATTACTAACAAAATTAATAGAGGGAAAAAAAGTTTTGATTCATTACAGATTAGCAAAGAAAATATCGGAAGTTTACCACCTATTGAGGGTTCGTTGTCACCTAAGGAGACAGAAATAACAGAAGCAGAGGTTCCTCCTGCATCACATGCACTTGAAGACAATGTGCCTTCATCAATAATTAATAAAAAAGAAAATAATGCTAAAGCAGCAGGTGTTGTACATAATTATTATAACTGTAATTTTCAATATATTACAAAATAAAATTTCCTGAAATTTATATGTAGTTAGGTATGTTTTTTGTCGTAGAAAAAATAGCATTTGCGACTCGAACTGAAAGTCAATTTTTTCGTTCGTTGAGTGTGTTACACTCGTCGCTGCGCGACTCGTGAAACAATACTCAACTCACGAAAAAAGTATGACTTTCACTTCTTGTTGCAAAATATACTGTTATTTTAATATATGTAATAAAAAAACTACTCTACGATACTCCGTGTTATGAATTCCAAGGAAATTAAATAGGTAGCTTTTAAAATAAACAATGTTTATTAAAGAATTTGGAACAGTTCTTATTTCTTACATAAAATATAAAAATTGATTCTTGAGATAAACAATAATGAGTGCAATAGTTTCGGAGATCTATAAAATCGCCTACAATAGAACACAGACAGAATACAGACAGAAATGAGAGGCTGACTTTTTCGCATTGTGAAACGTAGAGAAAACATGAAATTAGACGTTCATCAAAATTACCCTGTTAGTATATTTCCCTTGGTTACTCTCGAGGAGGAAGAATATATAAATATATTGTTTTACATTCATATATGTCGTTTCCATACTCAAATACATATTAAATCCAAATATGCACCAACACACTTTTTTATTTATTTTGATGGGGCATGCACAATTCACGCACATAAACAGCGAAACTGTAGCACATTTTTGTTGAATTTAAACGATATTTGATAATACAAAATAAATGCGAGAATCATTTCTACACCACTTGTAACATATATTTAGTGTAAATTTTAAAAAACAAAATAATTATTGAAAACAATATGGAGAGTATTATCACAGTAAATGGAAATTAGATATGCAGTTTACAATTATCTCTGTTTATCGAAATTTTATTCACAAAATATTAATTTGGAAAACATGATTTTATACTGTCAATGACACGGGTTTTATCATGAACAAGATGTGAAAATACATTGCGTGAGATGTAAATTTAACCAACCCTACTATTTTATATAAAGAAATAGTTAACCGCTTGCCCAGAAC